CTGCCATCAGATTTTGTACAGCCACCTTGTCCACCTTCTTCGCCGCAGAAAGCCAGTTTGCCTTGAACTGCTGCTCGCCCTTAGCAGTTTTTTTGGTCTTGTTTAGGTTCCGCTTGACAATAGCCCAGTATTTCTCAATTGGGTGGAGCTCTGGCGTGTTGGGAGCCACCTGCACGTTGTTAGCGGCGTACCACTCCATGGCCTTTTTACCGTAATGGCAAGATGCCAAATCTGGCCAAAACAGTACGGAACAACCGTGTTTCTTCAGGAAAGGCAGCAGACGTAAATTTCTTGGTTGACAGTCCCGGAAGCTATGAAAATGCTGCTTTTCAAGCCACAGGTACAGATGGCTTGCCAAACCAGATATTTCTTTGCGAACTTTGACAGTTTCATGTGCTTGAAAACATCTGCTACCTTTCCCCTTCCTTTTGCCGTATAAAACTCCTGTCCCGGAAGCTGCTTGTAGTCGGCTTTGACGTAGGTTTCGTCGTCCATTACCACGCAGTCAAACTTCGTCAGCATCGTCGTGTACAGCCTCCGGGATCGCGCTTTGGCCGTCGTATTTTGTTTATCATCGCGATTTGGAGTCACTACCTTCTTGTAAGTCGATAGTCTGGCTCGTTTTTTGGCTCGATGCACGGTTGTAGACGATACACCCAGCTTATTTGCGGCATCTCGGAGAGAGAGGTTAGGGTTTCGCTTGAAACTACCGGCAACTCTCTTTGTCGTCTCAGCGGTTTCCGGTTTTCGATTTCCCCCCGATCCAGACTTCCTGGCTGTCGACAAACGGCATTTTGACAACTGAAGAGTGAATTCCAAAATCAAATAGGAGCAACATTCTACACACACACCTTCAAAATGAGGGGTGTTCAGGTTTTTTAAATGCAAAATTGAAAGAAATACGTCAAGTTGATATTGACCAAATTTTGACCGTATCACCCTTTAGTAAGGACTACATCGATTATTATTAGTTAAAACAAATCCATCCCATCAAATTTCCTTGACTCTTTGCTTCTAATTCTTAAAAAAAGAATACAGTTTAAAAAGCAATGCTAAACATATTTTCTGGAGTATTTTACCCACATTTGATTATTTTTTTTAAATGCTGTGTTATGGATATTTAAGCTTTTTGGGCACACTGTGTCAATAATTTTCATCTTTTGGATGATTTCAGCAATGCTCACAAGTTATTTGCTTTACATAATTTATTTAAACATGTAATTCATAACCATTCTAGTACTTAAAATGAATTCCAGGTGATCATACTGACCAATTTTTACGCGAGAGCATTATGTTAAAAACGGGATTTTTTTAAGCATTCCAGATTTTTCCAGATTTTATATTTTAACTGTTCCAGATTTTTCTGAAAATGACCTGGCAACGCTGCACATCCACAGCGGACAGTGTAGGAACGATGGGTCGCTGAAAACTCTTCAGCACCAGTCGTTGAGCTGCCAACAGCTGTAACCACTACAGCCACCAGCGCAGTAAACCGGTAAACCTCTCTCCGTCTCTCTCGAAGGACCACGGCAAAACTGCCGAACACAAGGCTCCGATGAGCAGGGAAATAGGAAAGTTCAACTCTTTTAAAAGTGTCCACTAGGCAGTGATGCCACATATACAGATTTATCTGTAATCATACAGATTTTTTTTCAATATTTTGATACAGATATCTGTATATACAGATTACAGATTTTTGAAAAATATACAGATTTTTCAGATTTTTCAAATTAAGGGAATATATTTTGTATTGTTTTATTGTATTGTAATTATATCAATTCCGCTAAATAATCGTTTCAACGGTGCCGGTGGTGTTGTGGTAAGCGTGATTACCTCTCACCCCAGCAGGCCTGGGTTCAATCCCAGTCGGCGCCGCCGGGATGTTCTGAGGCATAACATCTCTGATCACGCCTTCCTTCGGATGGGAAGTAAAGCCGTTGGTCCCCGGTTCATGAGTTGATGGGTCGATAGGTACACGCAGGGAAATGAGCATAAGAAAACCAAAATTCAAACATTATGTAAACTCAAAAATGAAGCAAAACAAACTTTCATAAGTCACTTATGCGTTGCATATAAGACATATCAGTTTTCATTATTTGGACATAAACCATTCATGCACCACATGTTTGAATTTCATTATGCGCATTATGAAAGCTGTAAGAGTGTTTATTTGAAAAAAATCATAAGGAACGTTATAATATGTAGAGCCAAAACTCAAGATGGAAGTGGCTATTGGAGACGGTAGTGGACGCATACAAGTCGAAGCTATGTAATTTTTTTTGTAGCGGGAATTATTCGAAAAGTCACCATTAATAAGGCAGGTGTCAACAGACTCATTAGTGAGGACGCCGTCTTTTCATGTAATTGAGAATTCTACTGTGGATCCAATGCATGATTTATTCAGCAATGGAATCTGTAAATACAGTTTTTCAGCATCTCTCACTGATGTATAAGTTTTGAAATTATGCATTTCAATTTTCATTCGCTTGGTGTCACAATTCATAATGTAGGTAATTGAAAGTGTATGCTTCAATTTTCAAAATTCTTAATACGTCATTCCCCCTTATTCTGCGAGTCACGTGACTATCTGTCACCGGTGAGGTGACAATTGTCACCTCGTGTGAGGTGACTCTCCGTGCAAATCAAATGGAGAGTCACCTCACACGAGGTGACTATTGTCACCTCACCGGTGAGAGAGAGTCACGTGACTCGCAGAATAGGGGGGATTATGAACTAAGCTATGCATTATGATGATTTCATTACCAAGTCCTTAAGAAATTCCTACGAATTGATTTGCCCAATAAATTTGATTTCATAATGTATCGTATTGAACATCATGAGAATTGCTTGTGGCTAAATTTCAAAAGGTATTTTAATGAATATCTTATGTGCATTTACCTGCGTGTAGGGTCCAGGTGTGGGAGCTGCCTTCCTGGCACGTCGGTAGCATTGGTGCTCAGCACGGAAAACAAGATCGACGGAAAAAACAAACCAAAGGAAAAAAAAAAAAATCGTTTCTTCCTTCTGAGAAGCTTGAATTCAATCTGAGCATCAAACCCAAATCGTATTTTTCACAAAATAAATTATTATTGTTTTAGCTTCGAATGGGCTTGAAATCTTTCCGATGGACTTCTGATGTTCAGATGTCTGATTTGTTTAATTTACCATGGCACACGGTGACAGATACAAAGGTTAATTAAATATATTTTTGTCAGCACGGTAAACAAGCCATTTTAGAAAACCCACAAAGTGGTTGATTACAGTTTGTGAGTCGAAGAGTCAACTAGATATTTTTATATTTGAGAAGCGTATTTACAGAAATAAAGAATATTGTATGCAATTCGACTAAACTTCCTGTAAAAGTTTTGTGTTATGTACAATGTCCAGATAAAGGTTTGGGTAATTTCAGATATAAAAAAAATCAAATTCTAGGGAATTGTGATAGTTACTTCATTTAAGAAATCTTCTTAATGTTGTGTATTTTCAGACAGTAGAAGATATACAAAACACTTTGAAAATCAAGATTGTAGGATTTCATGATTTTGAAGAAAGCAATCTTTAGTCATTTTTCATGTTTCCAAACATTGAACAAACTCCTTCTTAGCTTTAAATTTGCTCAATGGAGATTTACGTAAATCCGCACTGATACCATAACACAGAAATTGTACAGATTTTTTTTACAGATTTTTGTCAACCAAATACAGATTTAAAAGATTTTTTGCGATGAAAATACAGATTAAACTTCGAAAAAATGTGGCATCACTGCCACTAGGTGGAACTTATGGAAGATGAATCGATCACCACATGCAACCAGTGGATGAACGAACAGGAACTGGACGAAGCACGAATGCTCGGGAAATCTCCGTTCTCGGACGAAAAGAATGAGACACTGTTCTCAATTCTGCCTTTTTATTCGCTGCTTCCTCTTCAATGGCTAAATGCAGGATACAGAATGAAACATGAAATGCAATGTTGTTTACTTTTATACTCTTTCATCGGCTGCGTCAGCCAATCAGGATGCGCCATTCGATGACGTCGTTCGTTTTCCTATTGGAAGCGTTCATCGCGTACAGGTGTTTTAGGCTGTGAACCATTTGCCGAGTTAAATTTAACTCGTGGTTAAAAGTGACATTTCGAAAGTTATTTTCTATGTTCGAAAATCCCCGTGCTGTCGATCGACCGGTTTTCGAGCCACGGTTGTCAAACTTTAACTTCTTGTCTGTCAGAAATAACCATGCTCGGATAGCAGGGTTAATCGATAACTTTTCATCTGTCAAATTTTAACCAAAAGTTAAAATAATCCACCAAATGGTTCAGAGCCTTAGGCTGTGAACCATTTGCCGAGTTAAATTTAACTCGTGGTTAAAAGTGACATTTCGAAAGTTATTTTCTATGTTCGAAAATCCCCGTGCTGTCGATCGACCGGTTTTCGAGCCACGGTTGTCAAACTTTAACTTCTTGTCTGTCAGAAATAACCATGCTCGGATAGCAGGGTTAATCGATAACTTTTCATCTGTCAAATTTTAACCAAAAGTTAAAATAATCCACCAAATGGTTCAGAGCCTTAGGCTGTGAACCATTTGCCGAGTTAAATTTAACTCGTGGTTAAAAGTGACATTTCGAAAGTTATTTTCTATGTTCGAAAATCCCCGTGCTGTCGATCGACCGGTTTTCGAGCCACGGTTGTCAAACTTTAACTTCTTGTCTGTCAGAAATAACCATGCTCGGATAGCAGGGTTAATCGATAACTTTTCATCTGTCAAATTTTAACCAAAAGTTAAAATAATCCACCAAATGGTTCAGAGCCTTAATCAGTTTATTTGGTTTACTTTAAACAACCGGCCTCGCAACCGGCTGAAGCGTGGCGCACTGCCCATCAGTTTTGAGGTACACGTTTGGGCACCATAAGAGCACATGCGAGCGTCCCATCGGCGGCGGGCATACGTCAACGAGGGGTGATTGCGAAAAGTTAAGCAAAACAAACTTCGAAACATAAACAACCTTGTGATTTTCCACTTTAGTTGCGTTGTGATGTGTCAATAGTTGAAAAGTTTGTGAGAATTTTGTGTTTCACAGAAGAATTTGCAGAATGGAGCCAAGTGTAGACGACTTGCTGTCCTTCAAGGAGTTCCCACTGATGCAGGATGGTAACTCCGACAGCGCACAGCTGAACATCGACTCCCCGAAGAAAGTTTCACCCAGTCGGGAATCGGACAACGGTGAAGGTTTGTCTTTTGATGAATTGTGAGGGTTGTTCAGTCCAAATAAATGGATATTTTCAGAAACTGCACCGACGAAAAGTTCATCATTCTTCACTTTCGAGTACTACCAGAGGTTCTTCGACGTCGATACAATGACTGTGGTGGACCGAATAGTCACGTCTATCATTCCAAAGCGGGCACCGACCGATTACCTAAAGCTTAACATAGCCACCAATCCGGATCTCTATGGGCCCGTCTGGATCGTGATCACTTTAGTAACAAGATTCATACGTTTTCAATTCTTTGGAATTTTATTGATATTCGATTCATTTTGCGATAGATTTTCACAATTGCCATTTCGGGTAACATGGCCAGTTACCTGCAGAATGCTGGCAACCACCACTGGCGGTATAATTTCCACCTGGTTTCGGCTTCGGCAACGGTTATCATTTTGTACACCAGTTTCATGCCCTTTGCTCTGTGGGCACTGCTCAAATGGAGCGTTCGGACGGATGAGATGGACTTGGAAGAGGTTTGAGGACTATTTCTTTACTGTTGATTATTCATTACGCTAAAATTCTGGTTGTAGCAGGCTCCATACACTCCTACCTTATTGTCACTGGTCTGCGTCTATGGATATTCCATGGGCATTTACATCCCGGTTTCGATCCTTTGGACCATTCAGGTTAGCTGTTCTCAATTCTAATTTCATAAGCACAAGTAATTGAAATTGTTTTCAGATTCCCCTCTTCCAATGGCTTTTGGTTGCAACGGGAACGTTCCTGTCCGGATTCGCCCTGATTTGGATTCTGATGCCGGCGATTAAGACTTCGAAATTATCCTTCTTCATCACACCGACCATCGGATTGGTGCATTTCATTCTGGCTACCGGATTTATGCTGTACTTCTTCCATCCAGCAGATTCGCCCGAAGCGCCGGTTAAAGTGATGGAACAGATCAAAACTACGATTGCAACGGTCATTGCCCACAAAAATGCTACCCAATAGATTTTAATAGAATGAACATTGTGTCTAAGTCATTTAAGTGGAATAAATCTGTGCTTACTAAAATAGCTTAAAATACGATTTTGCGGTTTATCTACTTCCCGAAACTACCCTGGGTGTTTTTACAAGGAGTTAAGAAGACAAACAAGTGAAAAGTAAGTACCTACCAATAAAGTGAGCTGTCCGTGTAAAAGGTTGGTCTAAAACTGATCGACTAAGTGATTTTGAAAATGCAATGTAAACTCTTGTCGGAAAAATGCAGGGAATGGATACTGAGATGATCCTCTTTGCACGCAATATTGTATGCAATTTTTGGTTAAGTTTATATGCCCATCGTTTTCTTTCTTATAAATTTAAACGAATTATTGCATTATTATAATAACAACGTGAACAAACCGAATATAGTTGAACTTGATTAAATATAAATTACTAAATTAAATAACGAACAATAATTATTATTATTAAATTTTAATATTTTGATCGATTTTCCGATAAACCATACCTTTGTTCAACATTTTACACCCCCGCACCGAACTGCGTGCATGTATTGGTGTCATCCTTCGCCGGAGCAGGGCTGTGTGCAGAATGCACAGCAAAACGTCAACAAACCCATTATTTTGACGTTTAAAAGTATCTTCCACTTCACTAGCAAAGGCAGCAGAGAGAAAAGTGATTGCAATTCGTGAATCGTTCGCTTGATTGAACAACTAATTTAAAGGGAATCCATTGCCAACTTCAATTGAAACCGTTAATTTAATCAAACAAACAACCGACCATGGACGCCCATCGCGAAGCGATCCAGAAGCAAATCCACCAGGACTGGGCCAACCGGGAGTACATCGAAGTGATCACAGCCAGCATCAAGCGAATCACCGATTTCCTCAACTCTTTCGGTGAGTAAACAACAATCACTTTATTGTGGCCGAAAGTATTGGAAAATGGGCTCTGAATTCATGCCTTCCGCAGATATGAGCTGTCGGTCACGGTTGGCCGTGCTGAACGAGAAGCTGACGACGTTGGAACGGAGGATCGACTATCTGGAGGCTTGCGTGACCAAAGGGGAAACGTTGCAATAGTCGGCTGATGCTGCAAAGGGGAGGGTGGGGCTACCACGGTAGGACTGATATTTGTTGCTTTCGGAAGGGATGCGTTGATCTGGAACCGAAGCAAACAGTTCAGCAGTACGGAAAACGCGGAAGCAACCCGAAGCGAATGGATTTCTAGCGTAAGATTCCTACGAATAATAATATGCTATTTAGAGTGTACGCTTATGTTGTGACAAATGTAAATTAATTTAACTATCGTTTGATGAATAAAATGAATAACTACATCTTATGAATGTTTAAGCCGAGCCTTTTCATGGAACCTTATTGCTTCATGTTAAAGACAAGATTCATAGATGCCACAAATGGCCGCCATCATAGCTGATTCTACAAGGCAAAACAGCCACGACAAAGGCCATTTCTAGATAGGGCTCGAATTAGGGCCTAACAGCTTTTGTAAACAATGACTTCTCTTGATGATTTCTAAAAATTCAAGGCTCAAACCGCAAACCGCGCAAACCAACATCCTCACTGGGTAGGGAAGACTTCCCCTATCCGATGGTTAGGTTGGTCTGCGTGGGCGTGCCTTGAATTCATAGAAATCATCGGTAGAAGTCATTGTTTACAAAAGCTGTTATGCCCTAATTCCAGCTCTATCTAGGTTTGGGGATTTCATCATCCTTGTCCTTAACCCTCTTCCTCCCATGGTAGCACAGGCGCTCCACAACTTTGCGATCCATTTCAATCTATACCATTAAATATAGTCAGTATACTATATATATATATATAAGTATACTTTTTTAAGCTTCTCCGTCTGCTCATTATTCTCAGGCTAGCTGAATCTCGGCAAGTTTTTCACTAAGATCCAGCAACATAAAATGCCGAGCTGCTCAGTGGTGCTAATCTTGGCAAAAAAATATCTAAGTTTGTAGGAAGTTCAGTGATGCCAGCGAGAAATGTGTTTTAATGTTCAGTCGTACAATACATAATCCGTTTATAAAACTAGAATTTTATTTCCATTTGATTTCACCACTAAAATCATAAATTCACTCTTTTCATATGGCATTCTTGTCTTTTGTTTGTATCCACAAAAAGCCACGTCGCTAAGTAGCCAAGCTAAGCTGGGTTTAGATAGGGCAAGTCAAATGATCAAGTCAGTTGAATTCAACTGACTTGAAAGTGAATTGAACGTGTAAACCATGCTATTCAACTGACTTGATCAACTCACTTGAATTGAAAAAAGTTGAACCAGGCTCAACTTTTCAAGCCAATTGAATTCAACTGAGTTGATCATTTGACTTGCCTAGTCTAAACCCAGCATTAAGCTGGGTTTAGACAGGGCAAGTCAATTGATCAACTCAGTTGAATTCAACTGACTTGAACGCGAAATGAACGTCTAAACCATACCATTCAACTGACTTGATCAACTCACTTGAATTGAAAAAAGTTGAACCAGGCTCAACTTTTCAAGCCAATTGAATTCAACTTAGTTGATCATTTGACTTGCCTAGTCTAAACCCAGCATTAAGCTGGGTTTAGACAGGGCAAGTCAATTGATCAACTCAGTTGAATTCAACTGACTTGAACGCGAAATGAACGTCTAAACCATACCATTCAACTGACTTGATCAACTCACTTGAATTGAAAAAAAAAGTTGGACCAGGCTTAACTTTTCAAGCCAATTGAATTCAAGTGAGTTGATCAATTGACTTGAATAGTCTAAAACCAGCTTAGAGAGGATCATCCTAAAGGCTGACGAAATACACGGAGAGAGAGCAAGGATTGTCGGCGAGGCAGTTCAGATTTCGAAAAGGAAGAGCAAAAGTGGATGCAATTCGGACAGTTGTCGAGAGAGCCGAGAAGGCGCCGAAACAGAAGTGGAGAGGAGATCGATATTACACTGTGATAACGATCGACGTCAAGAATGCGTTCATCAGCTCCAGCTGGGAGGCCGACGCTACTTCCAGAACCGGGTCCTGATCTGTGAGCCAAATATGGGGCAGAGATCGATTAGGATCACGGTGGGAATTCCACAAGGCTCCATGCTTGGTCCAACGCTCTGGAACGTGATTTAAAAAGGCGGTCTAACGCTGAAGCTACCCAAACGAGTTGAGATCGTTGGCTTTGCGGACGACGTCGTCTTACGGTAACAGGCATGACGCTGGAATAGATGGAAATGTTGGCGACCGAGGCGGTTGACGTGATTGGAAACCTAATGCATGGAGCGAAGTTGGGGAGAACGCAATAAACTAGAAGCATAGAGGTAACTCTAAGACTAGAAGGTCCCGAAATAACGTGCTCAACTTTTAGGTTCAGCTCTGGTACTCTCTTCGGTCCCAAGCTAATCGATTCACCCCTCGAAACATATGAAAAACCAATAACCCCTCATTTTATCTGTCAAACTTTCATAGCGAATCAAAACAAACATTGCGTTGTACTAGAATTTCGACTAGAATGGGGTACGTTCAAGGGGTAGGTCACTCCGCACACCAATCTTGGGTCATCTTTTTTGTCAGTGTGCCGCAAGTATGCCGATTTAGCCGGTCATAGAGCAAGCTGAGATTGTTTGTAAAATACCCATCCCGGCAACCCGGTATTTCTGACACCTTGAATGTTTTGGTTTGAAATCGCAAGGATAAATCGGATTGAGGATGACGCGGGAAGTGGCGGGTGTGCAAAATTTCGGTGTTTTGTGAAAAGTCCTGTGTTTTAGGTTTTATAATGCCCTCAAAGGCAGACCAGAAACCTAGCCTTTCGTCCGGAAAGAGTTGGAACCGGTGGGAAGCATTGTTGGAGACCGACTATAGAGGGTGATGAATAGACTTCATTAGTTTGTTTTGTGTGAGTTGCAGCATTATTTGAATTAAGGGTACTAATGAGGTGTGATTAACTGCCTCTTTCTCTTGAGCCCACTCTGGAACCTACATTTCGTATTTAGATCTGTAAGTGAACAGCTGGTCTGAGTTCAATTAGAAGATGTTCCTGAACATACAGTCAAACAGCACGTAATGTTCTGAACAACTTCAATGACAGTTGTCCAGCAGTGCTCCCATTTTATTTACAACAATCTAATGCCTATGAGATTGTGCCGAAGGTATGCCGAAAGTGTGCCGATGGATGTGCCCAAACTGTGCCGAATATAATTTCGGCACAATGTGCTGAGTGACTTACCCCTTGGGTACGTTAATCGTTTGCTTGAGACCAATAGGCTAGTCAAGTAGTGAGCCAATTTAAAATCGTTAGTTTCGTTAGCCAATTTAGTTAGTTTCCATAGAGTTACCTCTATGGTTCAATTAACTTCACGAATATTTCAGGAATTTTAATTTTTGTGAGAAATTTAGGGTAGTCAACAGACTTTTATTTAAGATTAGAAAACTTTAGAACAGTCCCAATTACTTCAGAGAAGCACTGGTGAAGTTTATAAATCATGATGAATTACACAGCACAAAAATAATTTTAATATCACATCAAAGTGGATGCACTTTAATCAACAATCAATACGAAACTAACGATTTTAAATTGGCTCACTACTTGACTAGCCTATTGGTCCCAAGCAAATCGATTAACGTACCCCATTCTAGTATAAATTCCAGTACTACACTATGTTTGTTTTGATTCGCTATGAAAGTTTGACAGATAAAATGAGGGGTTCGTGGATTTTCTTAAGTTTCGAGGGGTGAATCGATTAGCTTGGTACCGATGATAGCACCAGAGCTGAGCCAAAAAGTTGAGCTCGTTTCTTCGGGACCTTCTGGTCTTAGAGTTACCTCTATGATTGAAGTGCATCCTCTTTAATGTAACATTAAAATTTATTTTTCGCTGTGTAGTAATTTTGTAACGGCTTTTCAGTCTTCAAGAAAAATTACTGATTACAGTTATATCATCGTAAATGTTTCGATCCAGGGGATCTTCATCAGGGTTAGTTTTTGAAATTAAGATCGTTACGCTTTTAGTGCTGATCGGAAGCCTGCATAACATTATCGGTGACATTATGTCCCTTGAGAAAGGCTTAGTAAAACATTTCAGGCATAACAGATCGACCGGTTAGTATTTTTAAGTTTTATGGTGAGCTGTTTACAGGCAAGATTTATCCCTATTCTAATTTTAGTTAGAGCAAACTGAACTCAGTGAGTAATCAGCTCTCACTACAAACTTGCCTCCATTATGTCCAACGGAAATATTTATTTAATTTACAGCTGGTGGTGCTACCTATAAACCTCCATCCGACCCCATTCTTTGGCCCTAATGATAAATATTGGTTCCAGAGAAAGTGGTTGTTTGCTACTGACAACTATAAGGCTATCATTATCTATGTACTTAAATTGAACTGAATGTTCGTTGGCATATAATATAAGCGACAAATTGATTCCATTCAACGTTTAAACAGGTTGGCCAAGAAAAGAGCTCATAACACATATATTTCTAATCGAAACAAAATTCATGGAAACGTTCCGGCCTTGCAGCACACCTTTCCGCACGTAGGCACTCGGCCACAGTTGATGGGGGTGGTAACATTACTCGCTGTTTGCAATTGCACTGCCTCGGTTGTCGTCATATCCTCCGCACCAGTGACTGACATCGGCAGATCACGTTGTCGTTGCTCACCAGCTGATTCATCGATCTATGTGGGGAAGAAAGGCATTTTGAATATTTGAAAATCTGTTTTTGGATTAACGCACCATCTTGTTTGTAACACAATTCAATGCTACCATTACTAAGAGGAATTTCAGAATCAGAGGCTTTTGCTGCATTTCCGAGAAAAATAAAACGACTGCTGCTTGGAGTGAAACTTGCTTCATGTGACTCTCGCTTGTAAGTTCGACTTAATGAGCGTCATGTGAGATAAACGTTTGTGCTGTGGGGTGCTAGCTAGCTATAAAACATGCATTCGATGAACGTAAGCACCATACCTGGGTTACTAGCTTCTAGTAACGTTCCAATCATGACAAATATTGCGACATCACTTATGAACCATTTGTACTGGAATCGTTACTTGATTCAATGTTCTTAAAACAAATACAAATTATGGGTACATTTCGGATAAACACATAAAATCAGAACTAGGTTTATTTTAGGAATAAATAATGTTTAAAATGTTATTAAAACATATCTGTAACTACAGTAAAAGAACGTTACAACATCGGTGTAAAGTTCATAAAAGTATCTTAGTGGTATAAGATCTATTATGAAATGGTTCTTCTTCTTTCTTCTGACGCGTCATCCGAGATAGAAAACAAATAAAATAGAAGTTTTACGAAGAGACAGAGAGCAGAACAACAGAAATAGCTATATAGAAGGTGTACACAGGAAGTCGCATTTAATGGCAAAAGAATTCAAACTTTGCTCCTCAGCCTTAACAAACTATGGGTCCTTAACAAACTACAAAACATAAACTGCCCTTTTAAAGGTACCACTAGACGACGACGGTGACTCGGCATGGGGCCTACTTTCTCTCGTAGCTACCGTACTCGTCGTCCTCTTCGTAGCGCTGAGTGGTCGGCGAGTAGGTTGGCCTTCTCTGCTGGAGCGAGATGTTGATCTCCTCCGGATTGCGGTACGCGCTCTGGTGAGTCGGGCTCGGGGACGACACTAGCCGGTAGGACGGAGTAGTCGGGCTGTTGTACGCTGGTTGCTTGCGGATCTGCTGCTGCTGTTGTTGCTGCTGGGGAACATGATACTGCTGCTTCTGCTGTTGAACGGGCTGACGACGTTCCTCGTGGACGCGCTGCTGGCGGTCGTAGTCGTTGTGACGCTCATCGACGTAGAAGCTCTCCGGGTAATAGCGTTCGGAATATCTGAGGGTTGGATAAGAAAGCGGTCAATTGAAATCAAGTTGCGTCGATCGATGGGGGATACCTCAAGGTGACGTTTGGTTTGGACATGTGTTCTTCCATGTTGATCGGTTTGTAGAGGTAATCGTTGACAAAGTGGTACTTGGACGACTGTTCGCAGATGTTGTCGCTGGACGGTGGCATACAGATCAGGTGCACCTGATGGAATGAAAAGCCTTCCGGGCAGATCCAAGAGTGTTTCTGATTTTCCTGGCAGTAATGGAACACTTCGCAGCCTAGACTTTCGTCGGCGTAGTATCCGGTGGTGCGTCCCGTACAGTGGAAATCGGATTTCTCCAACAGGAGAGATAACCGATCGGGTTCCTCTTCGGCTTCGACCTCTTCGCTCGAGTAGGCTGGCTTCTTGCCCTTTTTGTCCTGAGGATGATGTTGGCGGCGGTTGTAGACCTGTTGGGGTTCGTCTTCCTCCTCTTCGGAGCTGTACTGGGCCGAATAGGCTGGACGAGCCCGGTAGGCTACGTTCGCTGCACCGGCTGGCGTTGAATCTTTAACGTTTTCACGTTCCTCCGAACTGTGGGCGTTGCTGAACTGGGCCGCTTGGGATTTGAACTGCTGCTGGGCGGTGGCGACTGCGCAGAACAGCAATAGGGCGATGCCGATGAGATGCAGTGAAAGCCTGTGTTGGAGAGTAGAGAAGCGGGCATCGATTAGGTTTGAAGTTGTTGATTTTCTTTGATCTGTGCGGATCAAACGCACTGAGCACGAGTGCTCAATAAATACAGTAAGCATGAGCGTGAGTCTGCTTAATAGTAACGAAATTATTGTTTGGATACTATTACTATTTACAATTCATATCTACTGTAGGGTTCTTAGATAGCCTAGGCAGTATTACCAACAATCAATACGAAGCTAACGATTTTAAATTGGCTCACTACTGGACTAGCCTATTGGTCCCAAGCAAATCGATTAACGTACCCCATTCTAGTCAAAATTCTAGTACTACACTATGTTTGGTTTGATTTGATATGAAAGTTTGACAGATTAAATGAGGGGTTCGTGGATTTCCTACGATTCGAGGGGTGCATCGATTAGCTTGTCATTTTGATGACCAAGTCATTTTGTCAAATATATTTGTAATACATTTGAGATTTTTTTACCAGCACGACACTTACACTGAACATCCAATGCAGAATTAGAATATGAATGAAGAATGAATGTATCATATGTTGTTTGTGTAAAGTAAGATAGAAACAAACTATATTGTTTCTTTCCTTTGGATGAAGCGCCAAATTTACTTATCGTTGCTCCCTCATCGTTGCTCCCTGCACTCCGCCCTGGCTATGCCCATGGTAAACACTGATTAAAAACTACAAGGGGCAGCCCTATGGGGTTGTACCAACAATTAATACGAAACTAACGATTTTAAATTGGCTCACCACTTTAGTAGCCTATTGGTCCCAAGCAAACGATTAACGTACCCTATTCTAGTCGAAATTCTGGTACTACGCAATGTTTGTTTTGATTCGCTATGAAAGTTTGACAGATAAAATGAGGGGTTATTGGTTTTTCCTATGTTTCGAGGGGTGAATCGATTAGCTTGGGACCGAAGAGAGTACCAGAGCTGAGCCAAAAAGTTGAGCACGTTATTTCGGGACCTTCTAGTCTTAGAGTTACCTCTATGGTTGTACGCAATGGTGACGTAGGACTACTACTATAATAAATCTCATTTGTAGGAGCTTGCGTTTTGTGTAGGAATAGGAATTTGAGCGGGGTTCTCTCTGTTTATCCTCTTTAGTAGACGCGCCTGACAAAGATGGCCTACAGCGACTCACGAAGAGCTACTGATTCCGGCTTCCTCCTTCTATGGTTGCTCATGTGGGCTGTAATCATGTAAATTTAGGTGCTCTGGAACTGACATATACGAGCGTCAATTTTGACATAAAATTGAGTCATAATAGACGCCAAATTCAGCTCACTCAAACAGACTTTCGAACTTTTCAGTCTCGGAACACTTAATTTTACATGACATGTTAGTTTACGTCTCATCCTTTATCTCAAAGATGGATTCCGTCACGTGTAAAATTAGGTATTTCTAAGTGTGAAGTGTAAAGAAAATGTTATATTCGAGAACCAACCTGGGTATCAAATTTAATCAAACACCACCCTGATTCGAAAAAAAACACTTACTTCATCATGTTTTTACAATCCTCAGTAAACTATTATATAACCATCAAAGTCAAAAGAGAACTTTTTCATTACTCATCATGATTGATATATAATCTGTACATTAACCAAGGGGTATGTCATTCAGCAAAGTTTGCCGAAAGTAGTATAGACACACCTTCGGCACAATCTCGTAGGCATTGATTGTTCATTAAATGAAATGGAAGCACTGCTAGAAAGCTGCAATTGAAGTTGTTTACTAAAAATATATTACTGAACAAAGAATGATTAAAATTTAATCATTTTTTGCTTAAACAATCTTTATATGTATATTGATTTGGTTAAAATTGATTTCAAATGTATACTATGTTTATAAATTATTTCCCGCGATCAATTTAATGATCCAATTAAATAATTAGGAGACCAACATCTTGCTGAAAGTTATTATAATAGGTAGTTACATAAGAAAATATCGGTTGCTGGTCGCTTAGTGTGTTAAAAAAGTGATCAAATTACATTAGAAAAAAGATGTTAAAAGAATAATTCAGATCTCCGCCTTTACGTGGGATCATCAGTGCACTGGCAGTGCATTATGCCGTTGATGAATCTGAATCCATTCGTCCGGCAGCACCACAGCCTACTTCTTCTGCATATTGAACCTCAAGCTACTGATGAGATCAATGCTTGGAACTAGTACGGGGGAAATAAGAAGAACGGATCGAGAGACCGATATGTCCGCTTGTGGGACATTAGCGCTGAATTCTTTTGACGTCGATTGCCCATTTTGACACTTTGCCCATTTCTACAGCTATATTCATTGACATTCTCAAAAGGAGTTTCACAATAGAACGCTTTACCAGGAATAGCTGTTGGTAACAATAATGGATCCGGAACCATCGGATGGGGGAGATCGAAAACTGGTCTATTGCATTGTATACCAGAAGTTTTAGAGAGCTGCAAAGCTAACAGTGCAGCACAAACCTCTGAAAAGCCGTATAGGTAGGAATTGTAAATCCGGTGGATGTTCTTTAAGGTCATTTCGCTGCAGATGTAATCCTGGTGTATGAAACCTTTTTCAGAACATGCTGGTTCATTCGGGACAGAAGTCAGACAAGTGTGAAAACTGTGGAAAATACTTAAGGCAATCGACTTTACATTCACGTTAGGACCCACTCGAACGAACGTCCCTTGCTTACACAATTTTCTAAAGCTTTTCAACGAGAAGAATAATCCAACAACCCACGTGCGTACTTATTCACTCGTCTATTGGAAGATTGCCGCAAAAGCTCAACGCAGATGTCGCCACTGCATGATGATGATAATGTTGACAGACTGCATATAAAATTCGTGAAAATTAGCATTAAATTATAATTTTCATCAAGCCTACGTGAAATCCTTCCAATATAACATTCGAATTGAAGAAGAAAACGTTTTTACGATCAGACTGATGTGCATCTTTGACTTTTTCAGGTGAACTTTCAAAAGATATATTCATTTCATTTCACAGCTCCATCAATGCTGCATCGTAAATATGATGGTAAACAGAAGTAAATTGCTCAATTACTCAAAATAAAGATGATTTGTCATCTTGTTATCACTTTGAAGACCATCTAGCATCATTTTATAGTATGGTGCTTGTTAAGTAAATCAAGTTCCGGTTTGTTTTCCGTCGAAAATTGTGAGTATCAATATGTTTGCTTAAAAAAGGCCAAAATGAACATTTATTGAATATTGGCGTCCTATACAACCAATTCTCTATTACCACCAGCATGATACAACCTTTCCTAAGTAAATGCACTTAATTTCCACTTTCATCTTAGTGAAAATCGCACATATTTACCATTTTCTGAAAAATGCAGCTGCGCAGGAGGTAGCCTCTCCCTGTGGGTGCAAACTTGTTATGCATAATTTTCCATGAAAACATCTCCGATCCATACCGAAATAATAACAAATAGTTTTCAAACACGTTTTCTTACACGATTCAAGCAAAAGTTTCCACGGGAAATTATTAGTTTTTCTTTATGGACCGATTTGCCCCAAAAAGCGTCTGTTTTACTTGGAAAATTTGGAAACTATCCTCCTTCTAGTAGTTCTCACTTCGAAATGTAGGTGGCGAAAGCTTGGAAAAGTTTCGCTGCAAGACGCCAATCGAACGTAATTTCATAATCCAACAGGACTGGCCAAACACGTCCAAACAAGCTAGATCTGCCAGAAAACGTTCACTCAAATCGAATATCCTGAAAACTCACATGAAGACGCACATATTCCAGGATTCGTTTCAATATTTGAGTTCGCGTTCGTTTCCAAACGAGGAAGAAGTCAGCCGTCACTCGTTGGTAAATTCGTCACCGAAGCCGTTTAACTGTTCATACTACGGAAAACAATTTATTTAACCTGAAGACTCACGTCCGGACCCACTCGGGTGAAAAATCGTTTTCAGTAACATTCTCTGTTTGGTGCCACTATCTGAAATTCAATTTGACGGCGTTTCGTGTCCTTGTATGGGATCTGGATCATAACCATGACTGCTCTGTGGGTAATCCGCCTCGGACCAAACACTTTGCTAGAGGATAGCGAATCCACGCTAGACTGAAAAATCAATATCATTCTTTGTAATAAATCCTACTCCTGATGGTTGATCAGGAACATTCACAGGATGCACTTTGCTAGACTTTGTAGAGTAGTTTTTTCACCCTTTCAAATGTTCAAATCGCCTCCAGCAGCTTTTCAAAATTTTCCTTGTCTTTGTCGTTCTTATCCCGAACCAACAACTTCACCGACGGAATGCACTCCCCACCGTTCTACTCGATCTTCTTCCTGCTGGTGAGGAAAAGGATAAGTCCATCTTACCGTGTAAGAAAAAGTACCCAAAATTGAGTTCCTTTCACTCATCACGTGGCTTCCGTGGGGCTAGGTAAAATTAAGTTAAAGAAGAAAACTCAATTTTGAGTAATCCTGGCGTTGACCAAGTTGACAAAAAAATAATAAAACGGAGCAGACTGGAACCGAACCATGGACGTTGAGATTACGGGGCCAGTGAGTTGACCACTCGTCTATGGTTAAAGGCGCATAAAAGCAACCTCAATGAAAATAAACTTATATTTGAGTTTATTTATTATTACTCAATAGTTGAGTAAATTTTAACCAACGCCGCTTTTCTGATTCACTCAACGGCGGACCTCAAATGATAGAACCCAACGTTGAGTTTTTTTTTAACTTAACTTTGAGTATTTTTTCTTACCGTGTGGGCATAGAGTATCAATGTGCTTGACACATAATATACAAATGTATGTATTTGTTGCCATATTAAGCTCTCAATTAATAAGTGCATCTAGCGCACTAAGTTGAGAACCGGAGAAACGCTCAAGTGTAAAAGAAGAAGAAGACGAAAAGATGTACGTTTCTTTGGTTATGTGTTCCAATTATGGCCTATGGAATTCCCATATGCCATAATTGAAACACACCATCATAGGAAAGTATAATCTTAACTGGTATATTTGCAAAAAACAACCC